AAGTGATTTTTCCCACAATAATCACATGTTGGAAAGGGTTGCGACCCAAAAGAACCACCATGTCTAGAAGACTGAACTGTTGAAGCACCAGATGCAACAGGTCTGACACTTGCACCGCCTCTCTGAAAAGAATCACCCCTGCCTCTCTTGCTAGGATGTGCAGAAGAATTAACAGAACCAGAAGGCCTCCTGAATCGATTCTGGGCTCGATCATTATCTCTCCTGTGCTCCATACCCAGTCGCTCTATTTCCTCAGCAGTCTTGGCTATCTCAACCAAAACATCAAAATTCCTCTCTCGATGGGTAGCGACTCGACTCCTGATCTCATACCTGAGTCCATTCTCGAACCTCAAGCATCGATCTGTCTCAGTGTCCACAAGTCCAGGAGCATATCGGCTCAATCGGATGAACTCAACCTCGTAATCCATAACAGACATATTACCCTGCTCCAGATTCTGAAACTCCTGGCGTCGCTCATGCAGATATCTCTCTCCGATGTAGCGACTTCGGAAGCGCGTCTTGAAAAGATCCCATGTTAATTGGTTCCTCGGAATACTACCAGAAATGGATTGCCACCATCTGAAGCTTTCTTTCTTCAACATAGTTAGGGCCCCTTTTAACTTTTGCTCAGGTCTGAGGTCCATCTCATCCATAATCCTTTCTGTGTCCTCCAGCCAATACTCAGCGTCTGTCGGAGGTCCACCAGTAATACCCTCGAATGGTACTACACCAGCAGCAACCAGAGAATTTGAAATCTCCACTGCAGTCATGTTACTAGGGGCTCTAGCAGCTCTCTGAAACATGCGGAATATAGCTCTATTAATGGCGTCTTCATTCATCTCAGTATCCTCATCTTCAGTGACGGGAGGGTCTCTCATAGGAGTAAACTGATCATCATGAGAAAGAGTCGGATCTACTTGCGGAACAGGAGGATCACGTGCTGACATCGGATCATCTATCGTAACAGAAGGTCGAGTGACTCGTCCTCTACCACGTTCACGTCCTGTCCTACGACCTCTAGCAGTATTCATCGTTGGATCTATAAGGCTCTACAGAAGAATTTGAAACATATGTCAGATTAGCATCAGGGATCTCAATAAAACTTTAAATCATAACATAAGGTGACATTTTTTTTATTTCTTAAAAATTCAAAGTTTAGGACCCATATACAGTCCGAGTGTTTAAAACCGAAGGCTCTGATACCACCAAATGTAACCCCCTAGACCCGGTCTGTGAGTTAGACCCAAACCTAAGTGGTCACATATCCCATTCAGAGGTTTTTTTTTACAACTTATAGAATATTAAACAAAATATATTAATATTACAGGTATGTCCAAAACGATAATAAAATACATGTCACCAAACATAACCGAAAAACATACAGAAATATATGTTCGTACAAAATAAAATAGTTGATTTCTCCTGATGCCAAATCTGCTAGCTTACGGTCTGCTGTTATCTGAAAAAGGTTAAAATTTACAGAATGAGCTAAGAAGCCCAGTGTGTTCCATACAGCGTACAAAAACATATTAATAAGATATTATCAATAAAAAAATCGATTTATGCAACATGTTTTTTTTTAAATATGAACACTACCCCCATCCGTCACGAACAAATTGTGTAGGTTCCCATAACCATACACCCCGTCACGACCAGTAAGGCCCTGAGCACAAAGCCGAGGAGCCTGCAATATTTTCTTCCTCCAACAATTCTTTTCCCCCCAATGACAGTAATAAACAAATATGTATTCGAGTAAAAATGGTGATTAATCCATTAAAACATGAAAATGGATCATGCTTGAAAATCATATACAGAAATACGGTAATCAGATGTCGGTAACCATTATTCAGAAATCAGATATCATGTATCATGTCCTAACAATATTTTGAATAATCACCATTCTGAAATAATTCAAATAATATTTTAAAACAGTAAAACAACACTGTCAGGAAACACACCTGTCACACTCTGAGAAATCAGATAGGGAATCCTACTATTGGGTTTGTCGATCACTTTCTGCTGCAGCGCTAGATCCTACGAATTAGAAAAATCCATATTGGAATCCTAATATAAATAATCTAAATATTATTTAAATAATATACGGAAACCTACGGGTAATTCTCGTAGTACGCGGTTCAGGCTGATCTAACGAACGGATAATACCGGACCTAATTGATCCTTGCTCAGGTGAAACACGAGTACCTTCATAAAATATTTTATTGAGTAAATCCTTGACCAAATCTCATTTAAATAATCAAAATATTAAAATATTAAGCCTTTTGGGTTTACAAGCTCGATTCGGGAATTTCGGGTCAGAATTTGGCAAAACGGACTTCGAAATTAAATTCAGGACGTCGAAAAATATAAAGTATGACCTTCCGATATTTCGAATTCTTGGTCAAAATTAAAGTCAACGGGGTTGAATGACGATTTGGAGACTTTCGGGTTTGAATTTAGCAAAACGGACCCCAAAAACGGATTCGAAACGTCGAAAACTATCAGGATAGGTATTCTTGGTCGAAAACAAAGGTCGTTTAATAGTTGGTCAAAGCCGGTCAAAGTTCTGGTCAAAGGAGGTCAACAAACTGTCAAACATTTTACACAAATAGCACCATTTTAAAAAAATTTACCAAAATAGCACCCATTTCGAATTAATTCCCAGAATAGCACTAAAACCGAATTAATTCCCAGAATAGCACCGGTCAACGGGTCGGGTCAACGGGTCGGGTCGGGTCAACGGGTCGGGTAAACGGGTCGTGACCGGTCAAACCGGTCAAAACCGGTTTCCAGCGTTCACTCGCCTGCGGCGGCGCGTGTGGGCGCGTGCGACGTCCTCGGGGGCTCTAAAAATCACGGAAAAATTTCTAAAAATTATTTTGAGTGATTTCGAGATACTTACAAAGATCGGTTCAAATTTTTGAACGGCGGAGAGCTCGATTTCGACTCGGCCGAATCTTTAACTGATCCACCTCCCCACGCGCCGCCGTAAACGGAGATCGAGGATGACACCTGCGGAATCGGAATGGCACAAGGAACACGATGGTGCGGGAGGTGTCGTAAAATGAGCAACGATCGGCGATGAATTTAGGATTTTCTAGGCTATTGAGCTTAAAAAAATGTCGATGCTTTGACTTGAAATTCACGACGTTTGGCAGCGTTTCGCTTCAATTAAATTGAGGGAATTGTTCCTGACTCGATAACGAACACGATGGTACTTTCAAAACGACGATCGAAATTCGGACGGTGTCGGAATCGTCGTCGGAAGTTGAGGTAAGGAAATGGAAATTTGGGAGGAATTGGGTTCTGATTTTCAGAACCCAATTCACGCATATATCATATATATAAACCAAATACCTAACTTTTTTGGATAAATTCAGGGCTTGGTCCCTGAATTTTCTTTAACTCTAAAACAAGCTACAAGTTTTAAAACCTTTCAGTTTAGTCCCTAAAAATTACCAATTTTCACAATTAAATATTCAATTCCATTTAACTATTATTTTGATATTATCGGGTTGTTAAACTTTGATATTCATTTTCTTAAGCATGAGCAAAAAATGTATAATAACATATATCATGGTAGCAATAAATAAATAATTAACTGAACAAAACATAAACAAAATTGAAGTTCACATCTTAAGTAAACAAATAAATTCAAAATTATGGCTAATCTCATCTCAAGATACCAAACACTACATCAATATCAAGTCTTTGGACATTAATATTAACAGTAAATGATACTCTTGTTGTAGTAATCAAACATTGATAATAAATTATGTTGAACAAAAGACAAATCTTTCAATGTAATGCTCACACAAATACCTTATAATTGTCACAAGTTATTACCACATGTGTCTCTTGAAATTTGGCCAATTATTAACTTTCCTTTGGGCCAATTAATAAACACATGAATTACAATAAACACATAATCATATTGATATTCTAAATAAATCAGTATACACAAAAGATGTCACTTTGGTGACATTATGTTTCAACTAAGCTATCAAAATATCAGACATATCCATAATATGAATAAATTTGTTTCAAAAAATATATATTCTATTTACCTAAATCAAAACTGAAAAACTGAATTGAATATATACATATATTGCAGTAACAATATAAATAAACCCATAGAAATATTGTCAACTAATCAATTTCTCTTAATTTATCTTTTAATTAAATTAAAAAAATAACCAAAATAATAATAAATTTGAATACACTTAAACCTTATCTCAAGATATCAAATACTCCATTAATATTTCATCTTTAGACAAAATATTCACCTTAAGTGATATCTGATGCGGTAACCAAACATTGATATTAAGAACATGTTAAGCGAAAAATCTTCCTTTGGGCCGATTTATTACTTACACATCAAACCGGATAATTATCACATGTTTATTACCAAAGTTGTAGATGTGATTATGTCAATTATTAATTTTTCTTTGGGTCGATTAATACTAACATATCCTAAGTTACATGTACATAACCTTTATATTTAAAAAAAATTCCATAATAGAGGTTATTTAACCGACTTATTGCTTTAATTAAGCCGTCTTAAAATAGACAATCTCATATTTACTCTTATCACCGTCAGAGAGTTTATACTCAAGAGAATTCTATCTTCTTGAAAGATCACAACTAAAGAAAGATTCAAAGATTTCAACTTATCAATTAATTTAGACACGCTTCTGCATCTAGTATTTATTTTATTCTTCATGATTTAACATGATTATATCATGATTGTTTTTATTTTTATTTATGATTTAGTTCCAACATTACTATGAAAAAACAAGTGTTAATGTTTTACCGTAAGTTTAGGATAAATTCTTTGTTGATTATAAATTTTGATTAAATCTAGATCATCTATTTATTTAAATTCAAGGATTGGAACTATTTTTTTTAAATCATTAACCGTGTGTAATTCAAAGTTGCTATATAAAGTCAAAGTTGATACCGATAAGATAGGAACCAAAAGCCGCCCATTCATTTTAGTTTTGCTTTCTCTTACCGAAGTTTCCAGTTGTGGTAATGATTCTTCTATCAAAACTGCGGTTTTATTAACTGCCCCAACTTTATCCATTTGCCTTGATTTTAGCAAAACAAAAATGGGAAATCACCAGCAAAACCATGTCTACATTACTTTCTGATCTCCCAAATCTCCTCTAATCTTCCTTCCGATTTTCCATCTCCCAACTTTCCCGTGCAATTTTCATCTATTTTCTCCAGAAACAAAAGAAACGATGCGAAGTCAACAACAAAATCATCCGCAACGGGATCAGCTGTCATGTGCTATTTACGAGCTGTCGGCGCTAGCCCTAAACCGCCTCCGATGTCCGCCGACGCCGACGCACTTGGCCGACCACTCACCGATGCGGACGAAGATAACGACGGAGGGATTTGGTTGGCTGATGCTGGGGATATCGGTTTCTTTAATGCTCTGTGGATCAGTCACTTTCTTTTTAGGGTTCATGTTGATGCCTTGGATTGTTGGTTTGCTCATGGTTTTTTACGTCGTCGGCATTGTTTCAACGATCTCGATGTTCGGTCGCCGGATTTTTTGTTACGTCATGACACCTCCACCACCCGGAAAAGACAATATCTCTGGTAATTTCTTCAATTCTTTTCCATCCATAATTATTTTTAAAATCAATAATAATATATAAGGGTTGCTTTTCTTTTACTTTTTGATTTGGAGCTTTCGTGTTCTTGAAGTATGTGTTTGAATTCGGAACAAGTTACTGAGTTTTATTAATCTTGAGGTCGTGGTAGGATTGAGTCTCATGGAGAACATTTTTAAATTCGAAGGTCTTCTACGGAAACTGCTCTCAACTTAGTATTGAAAACAACCTATTATCTTACCTCTCCTTATCTCTCATTACATATGGGACAAAGGTGATTTTATTAAAATATCGAAAGAGAAAGAAGTTTTTGCCTAAGAATTTGACAACTAAACTATGTGGCTTGAACTTCATCCGTTAGGTCGCCAAGTTTCGCACGTGTCCATATATAGATTTTTTTTTTGAGTAAACTTTCATATATAGATTAGTGTTCAACATTGTGGACTTTATCTTTATTTGTGTAGTCAAACATATTACCTCATCAATCATCATACGTAGCATCAATTAATTATGTATTAAAAAGATTATGCTTAGATTTACATGATAAATAAGATATTGATTAAATTAAATCGCTAAAATATTTGTTTAATAAAATAATTTTTCTATGATAAATAATATTTAAGGACAGATTCAAGTATAGTTCAGTAGGCAAGTGTTTATTATAAAACTTTTTTTTGTTAAGGTAAATTATGTATTTTGTCATTATTCTATTATTTTAATTTTGTTTTAGTCATTAAATATTTTTTCGAAATCATCACTAATATTATATTTTGATTTTATTTTATTCGTATATCTCTAACAAATTAACAAAACTACTGATACAATTTTTTTAAAAATTTTTATTTTCAATGGAAAAGTGTCATAAATTATGGTGACACGTCAGCATCATTATTAATTTTTTAACGGCGAGTGATCAAAATAAAACGAAAATGTAAGGCTCGTGATGATTTTGTGAAAAGAAATAGTTAAGTGATCAAACGAAAACAAAATGATAGTTGTGTGAATAAATACGTAATTTATCATTCATTTTATTGTTTGTGTATACTTTGAGATTTTATTTGTATCCACCCACTCCTTTACAAAAAGAAAATGTATTGTTAATATATGCATGTCCACTACTAAAAATATTTATTAATCTACCATTAATAATCTCCATATTTTTGGTCCACTCATTTGAAAAGTTACATTATCATATTTTTATATGTAAATATTTAATATGAATATTTAAAGATTAAATTGGAATAGAACCTATCGGGTGGTCTTAGTAGTACAAAGACTATTATTTTTTTTAGAGTTTATGAATTCAAACAGTTAAGTTTTCAGAATGTATATGTATTGTCAATACAAATTGAGAAAGTTTCGAACAAATACTATCATATATGTAATCACTGTAAATTATTAGAAAATAACATAGTTAATAGTGTCAATATGATTTTGACATTGCAGAATGGAAGCTTTTGTGAGGAGCAAAGGTGTTTTCGGACGGGAGAGTTTCATGCTGCCTGAAAGGGAAAACGAACAATGGGGGTTTCCTCTTGGTGCATTAAGGCAGGAGGTGTGGATATTGCTTCTTTATTTTACTAGAATTAGTGACTTATACAACGAATCAAAATGTATTGGATTCTTTATTTATTTTTTAATTATATTCAAACTGTCCTATTTCAATGTTTATGTTGATACATTTGTAATGGAGCAAAGTCAATTGTCCATTCAATAAATAACCAACTGATTTAACGTGCAGTTACTAAGTCGATAATGACAATTTTAATTATATGTTCATAATAAATACTCATTTTCTGTTCAAATCTATACTGGATTCGATTACGTCTATTCTGATTCTGAGACATGGGGCGGTAGACATGGGAATAGAAATTCTCTGCCCCCGTCTTTGTTCCTTAACCTATTTTTTTATACCTGTCTTTTTCATTAAATAATATTGCACCTTGTTTATTTTGGTGATAAATATCATTTTTCCTTTTCTTAGTTAGGTTAACTTGTGACTTATATTTTTGAAATGGTTAAAAGAATGATTGTTATTTTTAGAGGTTTCAGGTTCGAGTATTAAAGATTATATGATATTTAAGCGTTTATTGTCATATATTTAAGAGTTTTTAAAATAAATACTATCACTTGTAAGCAATATACGTTAATAGAAAACTTATAACTTATAATTTTAAATTTATTTTAATTTTTAATTATATAAAGATTAAAAGTTAACAATAGTAAATAGAAAATAAAAAATCAAATTAAATAATTATGATATTTTATAATTTATATATCTATTATATTTTTACTCAAACAAAACAAAATAAAATTATTCTTTAATATAATATAAGTTTCATTCAAATAACTAATCAATATAAGCGTTTCTTTGTTTTTTTTGGATGTCTTTTTATTTCTTCAAGACTTTGTCCTGACTAATGTGAACTATCCCGTGCCAGACACTTAGTTTTGGTAAATGAGTCTCTCAACGAATATTTTATACATACACAAGAACTCGAACTTAAAATATATTTAAACGATATCAAGCTGCTTACTATTTGAATCAACATTATTGATAACATTTCTTTACTTTTAATTTATTTTAACACCAAATAAAATGATTTTAATCTTTTAATTATTTGATGTTAAAATAAATTAAAAATTATTTATACTATTAATTAATTATTTGAGTGAAACTTTTAATTATAGTGAAAATGATTTTATTTCATATTGAATAAAAATACTATATATATATGTAAAATATCACAATTACTTAACTTAATTTTTTATTTTCTATTTACTATCGTTAACTTTTAATTTTTACATAATTAAAAACTAAAATAAAATTTAAAAATAAAGTCATAAGCTAACATAAATAAAATATGGGAAAATGATATTTGTTATATAAAAAACAGGTGTAACATTATTTACTAAAGTAAACACTTGTAATAATTAGAAAAATAAGTTAAAGGACAGGGATAGGGTAGGAACAAGGGCCGGGGATTTCGTAGAGATGGTCGTGCCACTGTCCTATTTAGTTTTCTTTTTTTTTTTTATGTGGATGAAAATTGAAATCTTCGGTTTAATCTGCTTAAATTAAAATTTCAAATCGGTGTAAATAAATCAAATAAAATATTAAATTTTGGGTATATATACTTTTTAGTGTATGATTTATCATTAGTATGAAATTCGGTTTTATATTTAAATGATAAAAAATATTATTCATTTACAATTCAGGGTATATATATACTTTCTGGTATATACTTTATGTGGGGTGCTAACTCTGGAAGGGCTGGCTATTCATTGAGTCAAGTGGGAAAATATGTGCAGACCAAGCGCTTACGGAGGTTTGGGATTTTATGATTCGCGAGTTGGGAACCGCTCGTTATTAAATAAATGGGTATGAAGGTTTGGTTGTGAACTCTATCCTTGTGCAGGAGAGTTGTTGAAGCCAGATACAGTTTTGATCATGATTTATTGCTTCCTTCTCAAACTCAATCAAGTAATTCTTTGCGGATATGGAGGAATATTTCGACACCTTTGCTCAAGGACGACGATATATTCATAAAGAATACTTGGTGTTGTGTGGGGGATGGTGGGAACATTTTTTCTGGAATGACCATTGGACTGAAGTTCGATCGCTAAAGCAGTCCTTTCCAAGAATATTCGGGGTATGGAACATTGAAGTTAAAAGCTTGTTATTTCAGTGGGAGCTTAGCATTTGGGACAAGTTTATGCGCACAATTAATAAGGTAGTTCAGGGTTGTGGGGACGTGATAGAATGAGATGGATTGGCTCCTCTAGCGGTTCTTACTCGCCCATTAGTTATTGTGACAATACAGTGAGAGGGGATTGTCAAAGATAAATTTTTGGGATCTAGTTTGGGCGAATCTAGCCCCTGAAAAGGTCCAGACTTTTGTCTGGAGCGCTGCACTCCAAACTCCGAAGGATCCCAACACTTGAGTAGTTAGCTAAGAGGGGAGTAGCGAGCATGGAATCTCGTATTTGCGTCCTATGTCAAGAGGAGACGGAGACGGTAAACCACCTGTTTTGTCATTGCAGGATTGTTTAAAGGATTTGGTCTAGGTGGTATGTGCTTTGGAAAATTAATTTTGTCTGCTCGAATAATGTTGGATCGTTTTTCTTATCTTGGGACACTAAACCTATTGATCCCGCTTATAAAAAAAATTGGAAAATGACCTTTTGATTCTTCTAGACGATATGGTTGTGCAGGAACGAGGCTTTATTCAATCGTAATAGAAGGGGTGAGGACAAAATTTTTGAAACGGCGGTCTTGAGGACATGTTTTTGGTGTAAATGTAAGTGGCCGAATATTTGTTTCTCGATTGTGGATTTTATCAGTTCTCCGAATGAGGTTATCCTATTTCACAAACTACATAGCAGAGTGACGGTGTGGCTTTATACTTGCAGGTTTAGTTTTTGGGTTGAGAAACTGTTATTGAATGAGTGCTATTGTAGTTAAGTCTGTGCAGAGTAAGCAGTGTGTAGGCATTGAAAACTGATTATAGTTGTTGTTTGAGAGTGTTGTGTTTATGGTATATTGCTAATTATGCCCCACAAGTGACTTTGGAGAGGTGATTATTGATTGCGTAGTGCTGTAGTTGATTTCGTATAGGGTAGGCTGTTTGCTAGAGTTGAAAGTTGATACTAATTGTTGGTTGTTTGAGGGTGTGGTGTATACAGATTGATGTTGACCTCGCCTAAGAAGTGTATGATTACTGTATGTGTAGTAGATTTGTGACTTAACGCTTCTTTGTTGGTGAAATTTTGTTGATACAGGTGTTAGCTTGAGGGCGATCGAGATTGCTAATTGATTTTGGGTGCTGCATCCGTGTTATATGCTCTCGATGGTGGGATTGAGGATTGAAGACATTGGGAAGGAAGCGACATCAGCACTTCTATCTTATTTTGGTCGTAGGTTGGTGGTCTAGTTGCACAAAAAATTCGAATATCCGATTTTGTGAAAAAAAATATCCGAAATCGGATTTGGGAAAAATCGGTTTTTTTTAAACCGGATCGGATATTTTAAAACCGGATAGTATAACCGGTTTGAGAAAAAATTGGACGACCGGTTTTTTTACCGGATTAAAAACCGGATAAAAAACTGGTTTTTTATCCGGAAAAAAATCCGGTCTGGGGTTTAAAAAATTGGATGACCGGATTTTTTACCGGATTAAAAACCGGTTTTTTCAAACCGAAACCGGTTACACCGGTTACATCATCCGGCCCTCCAAACCGATTATGATCCGAACCGATTTTTTTATAAACCGATTTTTAGGCTTAATGAAAAAATCGGATCAGTTTTTATCCGATCTGAATCGAATTTAAATCCAACTATGTGCATCTCTACTAGCAGGGTGAGTGTGGTAATTGCTCTTTAAAGACCTGTATGTTGGTAGTAAGCATTCGGGGACATACGATGCTATTCCAGACCTTTGTTTCATTCTTTGGTGTGTCTTGGTTCGATTGGTGAGATCATGGTTGAGAATCTTATTGTGAATGATTCGTCTTTGTATTGACCTCGATTTGACACTCTTTTTTCTTCATCTAAGTTTAGATAATTTTTTTTAATTAGGCCCTTATCAACGTCCATGTTTTATATACATTGTTATTTAATCATACAAGACCCCTTTAAAAAAAATAAAAAAGAATTTGAAAAGAAATATAGGTAACAAGATTCAAGAAATGAGATTGAAATTTAATGCTATTAAAATAGAATTTAAAATAATTGAATTAATTTTGCAATGATTCAAAGTTTTCAGTATTCAAAATTTGATTCACTTTGTTATTCAATTAAGTTTGTTATGAATTTATTGAATAATTATAATTATAATAATAATATTATTAATTTCATATAATTGAGGTTCGAGTAGTTATCTCTATTAGATATATATACATTGATAATCAGTTATTAACTCTAATTTTCTTTTATTATTGTAAGATTTTTTTTGATAAAACTAAAATGATTATAAAGTAGTATATATTCTAAACTATTGTAAGATTGTATATGAATAGATTTATAAAATGTAATATGTTATATAGATGGGTTTATAAAATATAATATGTTAAATAAATAGATATTGACAATTATTTAATTTTTATTTATGAATCCTAGATCATATTCTTAATATTTTTTTTATTTGTATTTCCTGTTATAATTCGGGGAAAAAAAATTAAATACGTAGTCCTCAATTCTATGTGATTTCTGCAGATGAGACCGGAACCAGTACATTCAGAATTAAATTAGAAAATGCTTAATACAAAACCAATTAAAACTTGCCACGTCATGAAGTGCCAGAACCCCACGTTTCATAATTCATTCTAGCGGCAGCTTCGTGGTTCCAGTGATTATTATTTAATTTATTTACAAACAAACAAGCAAGCTTAATTTCCTCCTGGTTTCGGTAAACAGCTTCGGTTCAAATTGACAACGATCGTTGATTCTCATCTACTTTGAATTTCTTATTGAAATTGAAGATGGATCAAACAGGTGAAACTTAGACTTTTATTTTTGCTTTTACTTTTTATTTTTTTGTTTACTGTTATAGTTGGACACTTGAATATCAGAACTAGGGTTTTAACTGTATTGGGAATCATTTGAACATAAAAGTTGTTTCTTTCTAATTTATTTAAGTAATAATAATAATAATAATAGTGAGCTCAGGGTATGATATTGATAATCTGTTTCGGGAAGCTCAATCTCGGTGGTTGAAGCCAGCTGAAGTACTGTTTATACTACAAAACCATGACAAGTATCAATTTGAGCAGCAGCCTCCTCAGAGGCCAACCAGTAAATCTTCTGACTTGAATTTTAAGTTTAGTTTTTATGTTGTTATTGCATAATTGGAAGTCTGTATTATTAACTGGCATTATATATATGTATATAGGTGGTTCTTTGTTTCTTTTCAATAGGAGGGTCATTCGATTCTTTCGTAAAGATGGTCACAGTTGGCGTAAGAAGAAGGATGGAAGAACTGTCGGTGAAGCCCACGAAAGGCTTAAGGTTTTATCAAACACCACTTGCATTTTAGTTTTGTTGTACTAGATGGGAATTATGTGAAGTGTGTACTTTTGTTATTTAGAAAATGATTCGCTAACTGATTGCTTTCAAGTGAACTCTGGTGCATGGAAACATGCTTGAAAATTAATTGTTAGCTGTCCAAGAAGGGAAGAAGGATATCTCTGCTTCTTTGTTACCGATAAATGTTCTGTACATTTGACTTTTCTGATGTCAGTGGAGTTTTATATTGATATGTTCAGTCTGAGAGGTAATGTATTAAGTGCATTGCCAGGTTGGTAATGTTGAAACTTTGAATTGTTACTATGCTCACGGAGAGCTGAACCCCAGTTTTCAGAGACGTAGCTATTGGATGCTGGACCCGTAAGTGTACCGGGTAGCTTATTTGTTTATAGTATTTCGCATGCTGATATGAAATATTTAGTGATTCATTTTGACCTTTGGGGATCTATATTTGCTAATGGTTTAATACTTTTGCAGGGCATACGAGCATATAGTTCTTGTTCACTATAGAGAGATAAACGAGGTAAGTTTCGATGTCTAGACTAGTCATTTCTCACATATTTCCTTTCTGATCTTTATATTCTTTCTGCCTAGAACATGGTTTCCCAACAATTTGGGTGTTATTGCCTTCCTCTCTGTATATAACTTTTACGGTTCACAATTATAGATGGTCATACTTTACTTTCTCTTTTAAACTAATGTTACTCTTTGCATTTTTACATAGGTTAAGTCCAGTTCTGCATCCACTGTGCAATCACCATTATCCTCTTCTGCTTTTAGTCCAAGTCCACAGTCTTATACTTCTCAACATCCCAGATCTAACTCTCTAGCTAATGATGTACGTGAACCATACCAGAACTTATCTAGTCCAGGGTCTGCTGAAATTAGCTCTGATATTGTCACCAAGAACAGTGGAATAGATACTACAGTAGAATATACCAGTCCAGCTGATTTTCAAGTTGCTCATGCTTTAAAGAGGCTTGAGGAGCAGTTAAGTTTGAATGAGGACAGCATCAAAGAAATGGGTCCATTGTACAGCTTGGATGATGATACACATGATTCAAAATTTCTGGAATATGGAAGGGAGATTGTCAAGCAGGAGCAACAGGCAGATCTACTATACACACCTGATGGTATCTTTCAAGATCAACTTTATTCCCAACCTGCTAGAATGGAGAATTGTTCAAATAGTTCTGTGCTGCTTCCTGATGGAGGTTTGTTAGTTTTTCATTTCTTTAGTGCTCAGAATTGTCAAAATATACTTCTGTTTTATTTCTTTTTATCATCCATATCTACTAGAAAAGTGTAAATTTCAAATTTGTTCCCATATCCCCTCCTAGTCTTCCTAATAGAAATGCAAAAGGGTAATCAAGGGAAAGAAAAGATGAGAGATACATAAAAATGACAATTGGAAAACATTGTGTCTGTTTGAAATTGCATTTTTTTTTTGCTCTCAAGTTTATGGCAAACATGGACATCCGACGGATCTGCTGCTGTATATTTTAATGGCTAGTCTCTCTTTCTTTACTGTTTCTATATTTATTGGTTAATTCTTGAATATGATGGATGGGTAAGGAAGCTGAAAAGAATAACTAATCTTTTGTAGGTATGAATGGAGGACGTAGTCAAGTATATGGCAATAATAATTTAGATGGAAGTCAGGAATCTCAATATTGGAAAAATGTATTTGACTTGTGCAAGACTCCATCAGGTGTTGGCTCTAAGGTAAAGACATTTCCCCATTGAACTGAAATGTTCAAAGAATGGAAACTATTTTAGCATCTACATGTTAGTGATTCTGTACTATATATTTAAAACACCGCTACAATAAATTGTTAAATTTCCTTTTGTAATTATTTGATAGTAGGCTACCTTTTAGCTTAAGGTTATGGTTATGGAGAAAAGCACCCAATTGTTGGATCTAGGATTTGGGCCCCGGACCCTGAGATATAACTCCCTTTCTTAACCGTGTGTGCTGCCCAGTTAACCAAAGTTTACCCTTTAGGTTAACTTTTGGACTAAACATGTGTTGCTGTTGCTGGTATTATTATTTCTTGGTATATGGAGAGTTTTTTTGTCTTTTAAGCAGGGAAAGCCACTATCTTCTTCAAGGATGAGACCAGCTGAGCACCAGGAACAATATGGTTTGATGAATTTTAATGGATCTAACGTTGAAAACTGTATGATCTTCTCTCTTGATATGTATTTGACTCTAGAAATATTAGTACCTATTTTAATTCTATCACATTCTATCTCTTTCTCTGCCAGCCTCTGTAATGCAGCATCCAGAAATTGGAAATGGTGAAATTCCTTCATATTCTTCAGGAATAGAAGCTATTGACACCAAGTCTGACTATTATACTATGTTGTTCAACCAAGAAGAAATAGGTTTTCCTATTGCACCAGATTCAAGCTTGACTATTGCACAGAAGCAGAAGTTCACAATTCGGGAAATTTCTCCAGATTGGGGTTACTCCAGTGAGCCTACAAAGGTATGTATCAAGGGATTCTATTTGTTCTGTTTTCTGCCATTAATTCATGAAGTTCTTTTTCTTAACTGCTGCAGTTAAAGCTTAATTTTTTTTAAAGCATAATAATGAACATGCAGGTCATCATTGTTGGATCATTTCTATGCGATCCAGCAGAATCTGCCTGGGCATGTATGTTTGGGGAGACTGAAGTTCCTATTGAGATCATTCATGAAGGTGTTATTTGTTGTAAAGCTCCTCCTCACCTTCCTGGGAAGGTCACGCTCTGCATCACTACTGCTAACCGTGAGTCCTGCAGTGAAATCAGAGAGTTTGAGTATAGAGATGGTACTTGTAGTTGCACTCGGTGTAATGTATCCCAAACAGAAGCTGCTAAAAGTGTTGAAGAGCTATTGTTACTTGTCAGATTTGTTGAGATGCTTCTGTCCGATTCAACATTACACAATATAGATTCTGGAAAACATTTTCCGGAAAAGCTTAATGCTGATGATGAATCATGGAGTCATATAATAGAGTCTCTTTTAATTGGAATTGGCACTGCCTCTGGTACTGTTGATTGGCTTCTGCAAGAGCTTTTAAAGGATAAATTGCAACAGTGGTTATATTCTAGATCCAAGGAATTAGGAGACAAATCAGGCATCACCATGTCCAAGAAAGAGCAAGGAATAATACACATGGCTGCTGGATTGGGCTTCGAGTGGGCCCTAAATCCAATTCTGAGCCATGGAGTTAGTGTAAATTTCCGGGACATAAATGGGTGGACTGCGCTTCACTGGGCTGCAAGATTTGGAAGGTAAACAAGAATCAGATCTACTTTCTCTTTCACAATTAATCTTTAACAAAAACCATTAAGGATTATTACTTTCATAAAGGATAATGATATATTGGGGCACTCCCTAGTTTAGAAAATGTGCTTCAGAATTTTAACATAATGGCTGCTTTTACAATGCATCCAACTAATCAGGATCGGTTTTTTCTTCTTAAGAGAAAAAATGGTTGCTGCGCTTATAGCGTCAGGTGCTTCAGCTGGAGCAGTGACTGATCCAACCTCACAAGATCCAAGTGGCAAAACTGCAGCAACTATTGCTGCCTCAAGTGGTCATAAGGGACTTGCTGGTTATCTTTCTGAGGTAGCTCTTACGAGTCACCTTTCATCCCTTACAATGGAAGAAAGTGAGCTTTCCAAAGGCTCGGCTGCAATTCAGGCTGAAATGGCTGTGAATATTGTCTCCAATGGGAACCTTGCCACTGTGGAGGATCGCCTTTCGCTTAAAGATACATTGGCCGCTGTCCGAAATGCAGCTCAGGCTGCTGCACGTATACAAAATGCTTTCCGTGCACATTCTTTCAGGAAACGACAACAGAAAGAAGATGCTGCTACTGCAGATAGTGTTGATGAGTACGGTATTACTTTGGGTGAAATCCAAAATCTTTCTACCATGTCAAAGCTAGCTTTTAGGAATACCCGCGACCACAATTCAGCGGCATTATCGATTCAGAAGAAATTTCGAGGCTGGAAAGGTCGGAAAGACTTTCTCTCACTTCGCCAGAAAGTTGTGAAGATACAGGTATCTTTACGATTTATCTGAATTTGCTAGGTTGTATAGATGCATGGAACTTTCTGGCAATGTCACTTGACCTGAGAGTTGTAAATAGGGATGGCCATGAAGTGGGGTAAGGACAGGGATTGCTTTATCCCTGTACGGATGTCAGAAACATCCTCCTCTACGGATGTCAGTTATATCGATAACTGCTGCACAATGTTAGGAACTTTTTGGCAGTCACTTCAGCTAAGAGCTGTGAGTTGTAAATAAGGGATGGTAATGAAGTAGGGCATGGGCAGGGATTAGATTATCTATTTTTGCCTCACTCTTGCATGGAAGTTGAAAGCATCCACTTCCACTGACATTGGTTGCAATAAATACATAACTGTTTTACAATGCTCCATGCATCTTTACCCACTTTTTTTATTAATAAGTCTTAATTTCATATTAAAAAAAGTATATTATAATTTACCAATGAACATATTTTCAATTTATATAATTCTTTTGTATTATTTATGATATAGATTACGTGTCAATATGATGTATTTGTATATGATTTTAGTATATATATCTATTGTGTGTGTAAGTATATAACATAAAAGTATATGTATAAAAAAATAAGGGGTATGTGAAAAGAAGTGGGATGGAGCTAAGCCAGAGCAACTATTTATCAAAATGTCCGTTCCACTGTTCATTTTCACCTTTTTTTTATTATAAAAAAAACCCTCTTATTTGGTGGCATATTAGTGAGACAAATTTGAGTTTTGTCATCCTTATTTACCATGTTTTTATGTGGGATGTGCTCAAAGGCGTGCCCCAGTGACAACTCGAATTTATAGTTTTGTCATCCTTAATAGTATATTCCACATCCCGAATATTTCAAAATTGTCTGTTCCATTTTTGTATCAGGCCCATGTGAGAGGTTACCAGGTGAGGAAGAACTACAAGGTAATCTGCTGGGCTGTTGGTGTTCTAGATAAGGTTGTACTTCGATGGCGCAGGAAAGGTGTTGGCTTGCGAGGGTTTCGCAACGAGTCGGATTCCATTGACGACGAAAATGAAGATGATGAGGACATTCTGAAAGTGTACCGCAAACAGAAAGTGGATGCAACAATTGATGAGGCTGTCTCACGCGTGTTATCTATGGTTGATTCTCCGGATGCACGTCAACAATATCGTCGGATGCTTGAAAGGTATCGCCAAGCTAAGGTAAGCTTGACACAACTTATCACCTGATCCATATCTGTTGATTGCATAATTGATGATACCTGTAATTTAGGACTGGGTTCACTTAAATAACATTTAAAGTACATAGAATATTAACATTTTCAATTATTATCTGCAGGCTGAGCTTGTTAATACTAATGAAGCAACATCATCAACTTGCGTAACTGATGTTTATGACATGGAAAGTGACGATGTTTTCGATTTCCAATAGGTAACCCCCAACTCCTGGGACCCAATATCACAGTTTGATGGATTTGTTGTATAATATTATCCGGAAATAGCCTGCATTTTGAAATAGTTTGAACTGTATACAGTGTTTTGCCCATTTACCCTGCACATGTGTTGTGCTGTATATGTCCCTTGTAATTAGTAATTTACTGTGATCTGATTTCTTATGGGGTTGATATTGATTCATCTTTTTACACATTAATTTCCCTACTATTTATTTGATTTCAACTATACATTGCCTTTATTTAGCTTTGGGGCCGGCTAGGAATATCTATAAAATTAAAATTTGCTATAAAATTCAAACACAAATACTATTAGTATAGGGTATCAATGTTTTCTTATACGTTTTCCTACTTAAAATTTGATTAAGTTAGTGTTATAAGTTAACCGGGTATTAATTTAAATAAAACACGTTTGAAAATGATTTTTAAGGTGGTTAATTAATATTATTTTAAGAGATTTTTGTTTTTATATTTTTATATAATTTTTAGATAAAATAATTAAAATTAAGTATTTTGAGATTGAATGTGTGTAAATCATTATGTACTTTACATGTATTACATCGAATTTTGAAATATACATGGTTTCTTTATATCACTTTTATATAATCTAAATCGTTTTATTTCTTACTTCGTTAGATTAACTGATTGGTAATTTAAATTTAATTTTCTTTATGTATTTTGATATTTATTTCATATTAAAATTAAATATTATAATATTTTAAAAATCGATAATGTTTCTACATGTAACACATACAAGGAGTCAAAATTAAATTTTCAAGGGATCATATAATTATAAATATATGTTAAAATCATGATTCACTGATTTAATATAAAGGTAAAGTACATAAATGGTCACTAAAATTTGAGTACGTTTTCGTTTTTCCACTTGTAGACACTCATTTTTGTCTGGGTCTCTAAAAATGTTATTAATTATATTATTATTATTAATAATAATTAATTAATAACAATTTTTTGCATGCCTAAATTACAAACAGGCCACCCAAAGGCCCAATCCTGAAGCCCAACAATACAACCCAGTTTACAAACCCATATTACAAGCTAATCGACCCGGTTCATATCCAAACTGTCCCAACTAAACCCTAACCCTAAATAGAGGATAAGGCATTCAGTCACCGCCACTTGGCCTTTCGGCTTTCACCAAGGCGTGTGTGATGCACAAGCCGCCTCTTTAGCTCCCCAATCAGCACGTGAGCCACCACTGACAATCCTGAGCCACCGATGTCATCAACAGAAGCCCTACAATGACAGATCAGTCAACAACAACACCCAAATCAGAGAAAATCAGAGAAAGTAAAAATAAAATAAATCTAAACCCCAAAAATCAGGGATTTTCCATCAACTCAAATGAAATCCCATTCTCCTATTGCTAGATATCATCATGCCATCAACCAAGGGGGGATTATAAGCAAAACACAAAAAAAGAAAGAGGAGGGATTCGGGGAAACGATTTGAAAAAAAGAGAGAAAAAATAGATTCGAAGGAAAAAAAACAAAAACCAATATCAAAACAAAATAAACCATTCGACAGAGAAAAGAGAGCTTACCTTTTTTCGACCACTGTCGCTGCTTCATTAGGCCAGAAACCGTTCGTTTTTTAAGGTAAATGTTTGTTTCTTTATGTGATGGTGGGTGGGTAGCTCATTTCTTAGGTTTATTTTAGAGGGGAAATAGAGGAGGAGAGGGGAGAAAAGGGGTCTTAGGGGTTTCGGTTACCCCGATATCGCCTTCGATTTACGGCGGCTGGGCTGTGTTGTGCTTCCTCACGACAGGGAAGTAGAGAGACAGAAAAAGAATTGATAGAGTTATTTTATCTCTCTCTCTCGGGCTGAAACATAACAAAAAAAGGGAAATGGAGTTGAATGGCCGGTTGGAGTGAAATTTTGGGTATTTATCTTACCTGCAATGCGACATCGTTTAATAGGGGGAGGGTTCAGTGTGTTTTGGGTTAGGCGATAATGGCAATTTTGGTCCTCGTATCTTTATAATCTCAGCCTGCGTATTCTGATCTTTTAGGGATAATTGTGTTTAAGCCCCTCTACGTTTGTAAATAATCATTTTTAGTCATTAATGAATCTTTGTGTTATCTTGTTTTAAGCCTCTATTTTTCCAGCATTTACATTTAAGTCACCATCACATTTATTATGCAATGTTTGTTGATTTTCAAATATGGCCCTGTGTTTTTTTATTCTTTTTTTAGTTACTATTTAATGTAAATATATTTAGGTATAATTATTATCTGCTCCCTTATGTTTCTGGTTTTTTTATTCCAGACCTTAATGTTACTTATGAGTTATTTTAGTTTCCAGTGCCTGTATTATTTAATTTATATGATATTGGTTCTGTTTTATTTATAATTACTGTGTAGCCTTTCAAGTTTTTGCTAATGCTATTTTGGTCCCTTATTTATGTGCATTGTTTTCGAAAATATGAAAAATCAGAAAATTTCATGGTGAGGGTAATCTACAAAGATATCTCTCAACTATAAGGGAAAGTATCTTTTCTAGGATTATTCGCACAAAGGTTTTTATTTGATAATTTTCTCTGCTTAGAGTTTACTTATTTTAATTATTTTTACCTATTTTCATTTTATTTTATTTATTTTTGAAAAATATGAAATAACATCATTTTGTGAGGGGAATCCATGAAAAAGTCTCCTAACTATAAAGAAAGTGTATTTTCAAGTATTGTTCGTACAAAATGACACATTTTCTCTTATAAAGATAATTATAATATTTTTATTCTATAAAAATATCTTTTGGGCTATTTAATCTTTTTAATCTATTGCAGTCCTTATTTTAATTTGTTTTTTTTTAATTTAACACTTATTTAAATAAAATTGAATAAATAGAAGGATCATAATGTAAATATATTTCTGAAGTTTGTAATTCCCAATATTTAAACAACATATAATCGTTTAGGTACCAAAATTTGGGCGTTGTGGGGGTGCTCACCCTTCCCCACATGTAATGGATTCCTGAACTCTTAAAAATGAATTTTTGGTAAAACACAGACCATTTTGTCGTCTTTTAATGACTTTTCTAAACTCATTAAAATGATGTTTAAGGTTTCCAACCTACCTAACTTAAAGGTTGGTGGTGACTCCAAAATTAAATTGTTTTCCAAAATACATTTCATCACCTTCTCCAAATTAAATTTTTTAAGTCTAACGGACGCCCTTGGGGAAACGTTATGACAGCTTGGTGACTCCGCTGGGGACAAGAGAGTCAGAACATAAACGATTATACGTTGTTTTTATTTTGGGAATTACAAACTTAAATTGTATTTAATTTATGATCATTTTATTTATTTTTGAGTTTCAACATATTATGCATTATTTTATTTTTAACTAATTTGTTTTTGATTTTAGTGGTTTTCAGATTTGTACCAATTTTGGAAATTGTGAGAGTGTTATTTTTGTCACGTTTTTAAAGGTTTTTGAGTTTCTCCTCACACACATCACGTACATTTGCATACCATAAGCTCACTTACGAGCTTTGTCTCTTTTAAGTTGAGGCGAAAGCTTAGCCTACGTGAGATAAATTGTTTCTCTGCATGGGTTTTAGCAAGTAATCTTTGGGGTTCATATACCTTATGTCTACGTGAGATAAATTGTTTCTCCGTATGGACATAAGGGAATGATCCTCTCGAATTGAACTCGATTCGCACGAGCCTGTAATGGGCCAGTATTAAGGGTTTGGCAGCCTAAAGAGGCACCAACATGGACAATTTGAGTACTTTTTTCTTAGAAACCAATAATGCATATAGTGAGCCCTAATAACCCACCCTGAGTCGAACCTTTGTCCGTCAGTAGGTACCCAAAATAAGTTTACACAAAGGAGAAACGACACTAAACCTTCTTTTTTTATTTACCCATATTATTTTATTTTTCGAATAAAGCATGTGAACTAGAAAATCATGTGGTAAGGTTTTATTTTCAACCAAAGCATGGGGTAGAAAACATGTTTTGGGTAGGATTTAACCTAATAAGAGTAGAAAAGCATGTGGGTAGGTGTTATAATTACCTTTCAATAATATGCTTGATATTTGATTTTTTATACTGAAAAATTTTCTATGTTTGATTGTTTATTCTTTGACATTTTGCATGATCATCGTAAATAAAAGAAAGGTGTTGATTAACCAAGTAATCATCAAAATAGAAGAGAAACCATTAAAATGAAAAAGAGTTTTCATAATAAGGAAGAACACATTCCTGCGGTCCAAGCTTGGTCTAAATAAACACAAAGGGCAAAAAGGAGATAGTTTGCCTGGGGTTTACGTATCACAAAACAAATTCGTAGATTGATCTTTCTTATAAAGATGAAAACTCTTTTGGACGAATGAAACTCTTTCTAAGAATGATTACTTTTAGAAATCGATACATTTTGCATTTAAATTCTGCATTGCATTTATTTAAACATTTTCACATTTTTTGCATCTGCATTTGCATATTCGATTTCTACATGGCATTCATTGAAGCATTTTTTACATGTATTAATCATAGAATCATGGGTTTATCTCGTGGAGGACTATGAGGAATTATTTCTAATTGTGCAACTGCTACTGAGAATGGATGTAAAATTTGAGAAACTGAAGAAAGAATTGGAAGATAGTTTACAAAAGATGCAAACAGAGTGGGAGATTAAAATGGAACAAGCACAAAAGGCCACCGTGGATTGTATCTTGCAAAACCAAGACAACCTGGTTGGCTAAATTGTAGTTAAACTGATTGGGCTAAACCAGGAAAGAGGTAAAGAGAAGATTCCATCGATTATGGAAACTTCTGAATACGTGAGGGCATAAGCTAATTCACGAATACTGATTTCGCCCGAAAAGATTCCAAGCCACCCAATAGGCTTCTCTGCCACTAAAACTCAAGCCACCGTGTTAAATCCTCAGGGTAATTCTACTTATCATAACATATCCACTCCTAAGGCTATGAGAATAGCCAAGAATGAGATCCCTGAGAACTTAAAATAGTGGTGCAGAAAGACATTCCAGGGAATGAGAGGATAGAGCTCTCACAATGAAATGGATGCAACTGAACTAGTTTTAGTTCCTAACCTAGTGCTTCCGCCCAAATTCAAGATGCTCGACTTTGAAAACTACAATGAAATCAATTGCTCTAATGCTATATCACGATAT